GTAAGCATCCATTGTGGACAGACAAAAGAGAGTGCTGTAAATATTCTCCAGGCCCCTCCCGCTCCCTGGTGGCCCTTCCTCTGAGATTTGCGCCCGGCCCTGCCATGGGTGGCAAAGAACCACCTTTTACCGAAGGCAGACAATGGCAGCCATGTTACCCGCGTTCTCTCTCCAACCTTGACACAATCCTGCAAGGTTTGTATTACTAACTCCATAATATGATTTAAAAAATTGAGGTTCAGAACAGGTTAAGTACAGTCCGACGTCACAACGTGAGGGGCAGGATTCAACCTGGGGCCTCTGTGACTCTCAAGCCTGTGCTCTGTTCCACTTGGTGGCAATGCTGCACCCCCCACACCTCTGAAGACTAGATCAAAAACCATCCAAGGTGCCTCAGGGTCATGATCCTTGCATTCACCAGTGGTTGCTCCTGGGGAATTTCAGGGAACCTCTCTTTGGACTCTGAGACCAGCTGCTCTCTGCTGTCTGAAAGCTCTCCTTCCTAGAGAGACAAGGAGGTATGGAAGTGCCAACCACTTTCTACAGCATGAAGTCTCAGCATATAAGCTCCAGGCCAACTGGAAACTTTGGGGTACCCAGTACAGTCACAGACCCCAGCTTTTCTGACTTTAATAACTAGTCTGACATTCAGTCCCAACCTGGTTTACTCAGATCAGCTTCTAAACCTTTGCTATGCAAGGTGAGCTCCAGGGATCAACAACATCTTAGCATCCTCTGGGAGCCTGTTATAAATGAGGAGTCTCAGGCCCCACACCAGTCCTACTGAATCAGAAACTGCATGTTAGCAAGATGCTCCATGTGATTTGAATGCACATTCAAGATTTAAAAGCACTGTTCTAGAATCACCTATGGAGTTTTAAAAAACCGTGCATTTCCAGAAACTAGAGTCCAAAATTACAGAGAAATGGGGTGGAGGAATAGTGGGAAGTCCAAATACACTTTTTTTTTTTTCTCCTAGTTTTCTTGTGGTCTCCTATTCTCAAGAAAACTCAAGTCCTTTCTGGAAGGAATCAAAGATCAACTTTGTTTTGTCAATAGCTGTACCCACAGCCAACAGACAGCTCCCTCCTCCCAGGAGCAGTGTTGATGACTTCATACTGGCCCTCTCCAGGGCGGAGCTCCATTTTCATCCAGTAAATGAATGGAACAATTCTGCTTATCAGTTTTCCCCTCTGCTCCAATCTTCTGCCCACAATTCACAGGGAGGTTTATACTATTGTCTCCATATCAACAGCAGAACTCCTATATATTTTCTTTTCTTCTGACCCACTGCCTTAACCTGGTATGAAAGAAGGAAGGAAGGAAGTTGGAAGGGAGGGAACAAATCAGTATGTATTATATACCTACTGTGTGCCAGACCCAGCTCATCCCCCAAAACAGTTAACATATATTTCTCATTTAACATACATAAAAATATGTAAGATTGGTATTAATGCCCCAATTTTCAGAAGTGGAAACTAAAGTTCAGATAGGTTAAAACTCTCCCAAAGCCAGGTTTCTAAACAGGATCTAATACTAAAGTTTTGCTGCATTCTTTCTACTACTCCCAACTTGTTTACACATAATAATATATAAATAAACATTTTTACTGAGATGTATTCCCATACTATAAAACTCAATTTGGTGGCTTTTAGTATATTCACACAATTATGAAACTGTCACAACCATCTAATTCCACAGCACTTCCATCACCCCAAAAAGAAACCCCAAACCAGTAAGCAGTCACTTCTCATTCCCCTGTCTCCCCCCAACCCCTGCACCCTTCCCCTGCCACCTCCCATACCCGGAAAATACTTGATCTCTATTAGTTTGCATCTTCTGGACATTCCATATAAATGCTTTCATACATTACGTGGTCTTTGTGTCTGGCTTCTTTCACTTAGCATAATGTTTTCAAGGCTCATCCATGTTGTAGCATCTATCAGTACTTCATTCCTTTTTATAGCTGAATAGAATTCCATTGTTGGATATACCATATTTTGGTATCCATTCAAGAGTTAATGGTCACTTGGGTTGTTTCCAACTTTTAGCTTTAGGAATAATGCTCCTATAAACATTCACGCACAAGTTTTTGTGTGGACAAATGTTTTCAATTTTCTTGAGTATATACCTAGGAATGGAGTGGCTGGGTCATATAATAGTAACTCTGTGTTTAATTTTTTGAAGAATTGCCAAACTATTTTCCAAATTGATTACCTTTCCACTAGCAATACATGAGGGTTACAATTTTTCCATATCCTTGTCAACACTTGTTATCTGTCATTTAGCCATCCTACTGGCTGTGAAGTGGTATCTCTTTGTGGTTTTATTTGCATTTTCCTAATAACTAATAATGAGCATCTTTTCATGTGCTCTTTGGCCTTTGTACATCTTCTTTGGAGAAAGTACTCATTGCCCATTTTTAAATTAGGATACTTGTCTTTTTATTGTTGAGTTGTAAGTGTTCTTTATATATTCTGGGTTCTAGGCCCTTATCAGATAGGCAATTTGAAAATATTTTCTCCCACTATTTAGGTAGTCTTTTTACTTTCTTGATTTGAATGCACCCACCTTGAGTTAATTTTCTAGATGGTATGAGTTAGGGGTTCAATTTCATTCTTCTGCATGTGGATATACGGCGTTCCAGCACCATTTGTTGAAAAACTATTCTTTCCCCCATCAAACTGTCTTGGCATCCCTGTCAAAAATCAGTTGATTATAAACATATGGGTTTATTTCTGGACTCTCAACTCTATTCCATTGATCTATATATGTCTATCCTTATGCTAGTATAGCGCTATCTTGATTACTATAGCTTAGTAGTAAGTTCTGAAATTGTAGTCAGCGTAAGTCTTCCAACTTTGTTGTTATTGTTGTTTTTTCAAGACCATTTTGGCTACTCTGGGTCCCATTAGATATATAAGTCTTACATTTCTTTTATTGAATTTATTTGATTATTTTTATTGAATATCTTCAAGTTTACTGACACTTTCTCTTGCTAGTTAAAATCTGTTGTTAAGCCCTTCTACTGAAATTTTCCTTTCAGTCATCGTATTTTTCCACAGCAAAATTTCTATTTGTTTTTTTAATCATTTTTATCTCCTTATTAATATTTTTTATTGAGTGAGACATTATTCTCACACTTCCCTTTCACTCTTTAGACATGGTTTCTTTTACCTCTTTAACTATATTTATAATACTTGAGATAACATCTCTGTCTGCTAAGTCTAATATCTAGGCCTCCTCAAGGACAGTTTCTATTGCTTGGGAGGTGTTTTCCTGTGTACTGACCATACTTTCTTGTTCCTCTGCATTGTAATTTTTTGTTGAAAACTGGACATTTAAAAAATATAATGTGGTCATTCTGGATATGCAATACCCCTCCCTCCCAGGGTTTGTTGTATTTCCCATTGGTTATTATTGCTTGTTGTTGCTGCTAATGTTGTCTGTTTAGTGACTTTTATGAATTAATTCTGTGAAGTCTATTTTCTTTTTTTTTTTAAGACTTTATTTGAGAGAGAGAATGAGAGACAGCACGAGAGGGAAGAGGGTCAGAGGGAGAAGCAGACCCCCCGCTGAGCAGGGAGCCCGATGCGGGACTCGATCCTGGTACTCCAGGATGATGACCTGAGCTGAAGGCAGTCGCTTAACCAACTGAGCCACCCAGGCGCCCTGAAGTCTATTTTCTTTATCATGTGTGGCCACTGAAGTTTCTGCTCAGTTTACTTGGTGGTCAAGTAATAAAACCTAAGAATTCAGATTTATAGGCAATTTCCAGACAAGTCACATAGTGACAACTGTCTGAAATGAGGCTTTTTGGAGAGCTCCACGCCCACTATGTCTCCTTCCATTGGCTATTTGTTTGCCAGTCTGCAGGGCTCCCATAGTGGCAAGTCTGTTGGTTTCTTTTCTTTTTTTTTTTTTCAAAGTTTACTGAGTGATAGTAAAGTGATAGTACAAAGCTCCCGAAGAGGACCCGAAGGGGTTGCCCAAGGCTGTTGGTTTCTAAGGCTAGTACAAAGGTGTGGTGAGAGGGGTGTAAATAAGCCAAGTTAAAACGCCACAGTGCTCTTTGTGCTCAATGAGATCCAGCCATTTTTCTTAAACAAATGCTCCTCAGATTTTTGCAAGCCTTTGGTTAATTTCAAGAGTTCCGAAAAAGTTGATTTTGACAGTTTTTGCTAGTGTTCTCAGTGCTTTTCTGGAGGAGATTTCTCAGAGGTCCTTGCTTTACCAGTCTGTGAGTACTTCTCTTAAAGAAACATTTATAAATATCACCTTGATTCGATTCTACTTTTTTTTTTTTTTTTTGGTTTCCTTTCTACTCACATAGTACTCCTTCGTAAGTAAATCATAAAAATCAGAGGAGAGATATAAGAAAACATATTTTCTGATTTTTTAATAGTTTCCTTGTGCTATAGTGCTATGGAGGAATGTGTCAGGAGCAAGGTGGACCAAAGCTATTTCTTTCCAGAAAATAAATATAAATCCAAAAGCACAGTCTTCCTAGTTTTATGCTAGTCACAAAAGGAACTGGGATTGGAGACAAGTTCAATAAAGGAGAGCTAGAAAAGGATATGTAATATTCCAAGAAAAGAGAGCTTTTATGCCTGAAGAAGTGTGGAGCTTCTAAATAGGTCAGGTACGTGATGATTACTCAACTCTGAATTTTACTTTGCCAGCACTAACCCTTTTCTCAACAGCTTTCTTCAAATAGCAGATGCTGAGATGAATGAGACACAAAATAGAACCATGATCAATACCTTCCCCTCCTTGAGCAAAACTGGACATGGTAAAGGGTCATGCTGATGAGTACTGGGCGAGTCACTCCTACTGATATCCTGGGCCGAAATCCAGACACCAGTTCATTTTAGGAAGGAGTGGGAAGGAGATTTGCATGTATGACCTCACGCAGAAGCTCCAGCCCTGGAGCATATAAACAGTTGAGTTGTAGGTATTACCCAGTACCAGGACCGGCAGTTTCCAAACAGGTCAAGACCATGGCAGTCCTCAGTTCCATGTTGCTGCCACTCAGGCTGTTTCTATGCTTCGGACTGCTGTGTTCTTCTGCCAGCTCTGCAGATGACATTGACAACTGCATGCTCTTCAATGAGGTCACCACCACTGGCCAAGGCATCATGGCCAATTCAGATGTCTATGAAAGCAACACAAACTACACAGGTGAGGAGAAGCCATTCTCTTTGTTGTCCTTTGTCTTCTGAGGGGAGTTAACCAGAATTTCAGAGCACACCCCTCCACTCCTGCTCTCAATCACACAAAACATGTGTTTTTGACCCAGATGGGAAGTGGGGGCAGAAACAGAAAGAGAACATGTGTGAGAGAGTTTGTTGTGTGGGACTGTTTCCTCCCTGCTCTGTGTGCAAACCTGAGCCAGGGGTCATTAAGTCCTGACACCCAGGTTAACTGAGCCCCGGCAAGAGCACACCTGCGGCAAGTTCTCAGACTTAAATAAAGTGGGCATTTTTATTGTTTTCAGGGATAATAAGTGCATCACAGTGTGTGGTCTGTTCACATCCATTTGATAAAACAATGTCACCATGGATGATGGTATATCGCACACGGGGAGGCACTGTTTGCCTTTAGGGTGTGCTGGAAACTCTAGTGAGCTAGGCAGGGAAAGTGTTACTCTCCCACCTTGTTTATGAGCAGCCTGCAGCTGAGAGAAGTTAGGTGACAGGTCAGGGCTCCCCTGCTAGTAAGGGGCAGAACTGGCTCCTGAATCTTGGTCTTTCCTTCCCAATACAATGCTTTTCTTCGAGGTACCTAGGAACATTTTATAAATATCCCATTTTGGGTCAGCCAAACCTATAAGTCAAGACAGGTGCTTCCTGATTACTTTTGTAACAACAACATTTAATATGGTGGTTTACGTGTATTCATGCATTTAGATCTCACAACAACGTGTTAGGCAGATAACATACCATGATCATTCCCGTTTCACAGATGAGGAAACAGAGGTAGAGTGCTAGTCACTTGCTCAGGTCACACAGCTACTTACAGGATGGAGCTGGGATATGAACCCGAGCAGTCTAGCTTCAGACACCCAGTCCTTAACCACTGCACTCTACACCCCTCACTTACGGTAATGAGAGCTGAGACTTCTTACTACGTGCTGGGTGCTATTCTAAGGGTAAATGCTATTATCCTCCCAGATGAGAACCACAGCATAGGGGAGTTAAAATTTTACCCAAGGCCATAGTGGGTAGCATTGTTAATATTTGAACCTAAGTAACAGCCAAGATTTGTACAGCTCTGTTCAGCCAGGATGTCCAGCTTCAGAGCCTGCTGTCTCATTACTATGTCATTCTGCTCTCCTAGAACTCTAACCAATTCTGCAGAGAGCACCAGGGTGATGTCCACACCCATGAACCACAGATTCCAGACTTTGGCAGGTGAACGACGATGGTCTGCCTTCACACACTTGTCCCAGCTTGTCCTTTTCTTTTTCATGGGGACTGTCACTAAGGGCCTCAGCTGTGATTCAGATCACTGTATCCCACTCCCTCAGGCAGTGGATCTTGTCCTCCCAAGCCAGGGAGGATAATCTTATAATTCGAGATGAGGACAGGAAGGCATATGTGTGACCTTGCACACAGGGAAGGACCTGGGGGTCAGAGGGACTGCTACACAAAAGATCACAGACCTCGGACTTAAGATAACATATCACAAGGTAAGGGATTTTGCTGTTGAAATGGAAGAAAAAGAAACCTATCTCGTGAAAATGCTGGGTGGAGATATGTAGACTGGGGTTCTTCTGAAAGTAGCAAGACAGGAGAACGAACAGTCAAGAGAGGATCCATAAGACCCCTTGAAAGGGAATATGCTGGGTGAGGGGGAAATCAAACATTTGCAGAGGTGCTGGGTAGAGCAGAGAAAGGGGAAGGAGGAGACAAACTCCGGTTCACTGAATGCCTACTTTGTGCTGGCACTTCAAACTTCACCTGACTTCATCTCAGAGCAGAAATGTGCTAAAGCTCCATGATAAACCGAATCACTAAGCGAATGATTTGAGAGTCAAAATCCTATGCTCACGGAAATGTGAAGTGCCAGACTCCGCACCCAGCATTACACAACAGGCTCCATGATTTCCTCGTCAGAGTGTCATTACACTGGGTCTTTTGGGGAGACTGGGTAAAGACCCACAAAGGCCAACCACTTCTCCTTATTTTGATTTTGAAATTTTTTAAATTTCAGGGTTTGTGTCAACATTGGTAAATCATGTATAAATGGCTTGGCATGTCCCATGGCACACACACAGCTCAGGCAGGATCTTAGAAGAGGTTCCCTGGGTCTGTCTTGGTATCAGTGAAAGAAACCCATGATGCAGTGACATTTATATTAAGATTGTGCTGGGTATGATCTGCCTCCGTGGGTGAGAGGGATAAAAGGTGCTTGCCTTTTTTCCTGAACCTTCATCTTTTTTTTTTTTTTAAGATTTTATTTATTCATTTGAGACACAGAGATACAGAGAAAGAGAGAGAGAAAGCATGAGCAGGGAGAGAGGCAGAGGGAGAGGGAGAAGCAGGCTCCTCGCTGAGCCAGGAGCCCAATGTGGGGCTCGATCCCAGGACCCTGGGATCATGACCTGAGCCGAAAACAGACGCTTAACCATCTGAGCCACCCAGGCTCCCCTGAACCTTCATCTTTAAGGGCGTGGTCCAGCACTGGATGCACTTTTTAAAATCAATCAATGAGTAGTTGGTGCCCACCAGGTCCCCAGCACTGGGCTGGCCAGATACTGACATGGATGAAACCACAGTATAGAGAACAAGCCAGAATGTAATTAAGTACTCAACTCCGCAGGAACAAATGTAAATGTTTCAAGAGTGAGAGGAAGAGAGGGCTGAACTGGCCCAGAGGTGGAACACAGGCAGGATCCTGGAGAGTAAGCAGGGATGGAATGTGTGATGAGAAGGAAGGGTTCCAGACATGAACAAAGGCCAGGGGCAGGTGTGGGCCAGATGCATCTGCAGAACCAGAGGAGGGCTGGCTTACCCTAGAGCAGGAGTGCAAAAAGCTCAGTGAGCCAGGTTAGGAGGGTCAAAAAAGCCATGTGTTGGGTACTGTAATCAACAGAAGTGAAAATGTAAAAGCAGAAATGTTTAGATCCTCTAGGAAGATGGGCACTTGGAAGGTTTTGGAGAGTACTTTGTCCTTATGGAAGAGTTGTATGTGGAATCTGATCTGGCTGCAGCCTGAAGAGAGAAGGTGGAGACCACAAATCCAGGTGACAGATGCTAGGAGGGAAGGAAGGAGGAAGCCAGTGTGAGAGAGGGAGAGCAGACGAAATGGCAGAGACAAGAGCATGCCCATGGGAGAACTGACAGACTTGGACATCAGGACACCACCACTGAGCACCATCCACCTCACCATCGTGCACACATCTACAGTTGTCAGGTTCTCAGTGGGCAAGTCAGGCCAGTGGGGTTTGGCTCAGCCCACCTGATTGGCAAAAACAAACAGAACAGAAATGTTTTGCGCTAAAAAATATAAATAACAATCACAATTCATCCAACACCCATCATGTGTTAAAAGTCTTACACTCTTCTCTGTGCTTTTCCCAGGAACCTTGTAGATAAGGTATCATGATCTCCATATCATGAGGGATAAAGTCATCATCCGCAGACCTAGGACCAGACCTGGTGTAGAGTGGGCATTGAATAAATATTTGTGGAGTGAGTGATGGACAATAAGGAAATCAAGGATGAGAGACGAAATGACTTGCTCCTAAATGTGAGAGCTAGAATTCCTTTCTAGGACTGTCTGATCCTATTGTGCTACATGCTTGATTTTCTTTGCTTTGTACGGAGAAGTCTTTGAAAGGATTTGGAGTGGCTGACAGGGCCCTGGAGAATAACCCTTTAGCATTGAGAAATTCTTCCAGAAGGGATCTTCTAAGGAAGGAAATGGACAGGCTGAAATGTTCTCTTGAAGTTCACTCCCTGTTACACATCAGAATGCTAGAATCAGCAAGTGTCAGTGGGGTCCCTGTGAGTATACCCTAGGCTACATCAACAGGGAAGACTCACCTGACTGGGGAAGGCCAAGAAACCCTAGGGTTATTGGACAGGTACTGGGGCTCTGAGACCCCACCCCCTTCCCTCACGCTCAACAACAGAGACTGAAAGCGTCAGTGATTCTGGGACCAAGAAATGGGCTCTGCTTTGACTTGACACTAAGGATCCCTGATGTCATGACACACTGCCCAGGGGGCCCACTTGACCCTTTCCCAGGTATCAACCCCGCCTCTCCCCACCCTGCCTTCCCCTGAGAGAAGGGCAGAACAGGCTATCCCCTTCGTCTGGCGGACAGGAACCTGGCTCCAGAGGTTAAGAGCCAGCCAGGATCTCACCTCTGTTCTACAGCGAAAACCAGGGCCAGAGCACAGGTCTTCTTTTGTTTACTTTTTACTGGAGAAAATTTGGAAAACATAAAAACGCACGAGGAAGAAAATAAAAATAATAAGATAATCCCACTACCAAGAACTCACCATAGTTAATATCTTGTATTTCCTTCCCGACTTTTGTCTGCAACTTCATTTAAAATGGGATCATACTATATGTACATTATTTGTAACTTCCTTTTTTCCTGCTAAAGGTTGACTTCATGATCCCCTCCCCCCGTCTGACTGCACCAGTGGCTGATTGGTTCCTTACCCTTTCCTCCTAGTATGGGTTCCCGTGAATGCCAGGATCAGCTCTGTGGTCCTGCGAGCAGTGGACGCGAACAACAACTCACTAGGCCTCTGGGAAAAAGCAGACCAGCTTTGCAACAACAGTGCCCTATATCACCTGGATAACCTGAGTGACCAGCTCTTCATAGCAAACTGGATATCTCCTAACTCAACAAACATAACTACAATCGTGTTACAGTAAGAACCTATCTCTGCGTGATTTGCTTTGGGCTTTTACAATTGTAGACGGGGTTTATGCAGTTTCACGCTGACCTTGGACGACTCAAAATGCACCCCAGACATGATGTGGAGAATTTAGTAGCTGCACTCCTTTCTGCCTCACTACTCTCTGTCCTTTTACCTACAGGAGTTCCCACGCATGCGCACACACTCCCCACCCCCACACCCCAGGCAGGCTGAACAGAGACAGAAAGCTCTAGTGTTATGAAAACTACAGCTGGACAGTGGCTAAAGCCAAACAAGCAAACAAACAAATGAAAAGAATTTATTCGGGACTGTTGCAACAGGAGAAAAGAGACCTCAGGATAGAACCGGGCTCAATTCTGAATACATCGTGGGCAAGTGGGAATTTATAGCCAAGAAGCAGGGTGGGGGTCACTCACAGGAAACAATAAGGCCTGTGAGGGGCATCTGGCTAAACTGACCTAACAGGATTCTTGCAGAAGGCAGGCCAAGACCATCAGATATTCCCCGGGGGTGGTAGAGGAGGGAGAACTAGGTATTAGGAGTAAAGGGTGGGAGGTACTTGCTCAACTTACTTAGCAGGGTTCTTGCTAAAACCGGATTTTACTTTTTTAAAATTTTATTTTATCATGTTATGTCAGTCACCATACAATACATCATCAGTAAAACCGGATTTTACAAGGAAGTGCACAGACAGGCCTAGGAGAAGGTTCTGGAGGCTTTGTCACTGAGCATGCTGTTTGCTTCCAATTCCAGAGAATCATTTTTCAAAACACACATTCATTTTGGAAATGCCAAGTGTGATGATTGTGTCATAAAACTGGCTTCCTAATGTCACACAAAATGGACACACTCAAGATTGTGAGGTGAGGCCACCTGGGGGCTTGCATTGCACTGTAACGAGAAGACCTTCCTCTCAGCTAGCGATGTTATCCAGGTTATTTTGGGAGCCCACGTTGAGAGGCCCTCACACTTTCAGACTGCCACTTTGTACTGAAAGGGCAGGTCTGACCATCAGACTATGGCCCCCGGTGGTGTCCCCTTGGTGGTGAACAGCCACCAAGTCTCTGCGGACACTGGTGGTGATGATGCTATCAAGCCATCCTGTCTTCTCCTGTCACACCTGGTTGGACAAGGCCGGCTCTGGAGAGGGGGTTTTGCCCACAGTGATTTCCGAGAGTGAAAATCCAAGGGAGCTGCTGCATTCCAGCCTCCCGATGATAGCAGTCTCTTAGAAGCCAGCCAAAGCTAATCAGGGCAAAGACTTTGCTTTCCCTCACCTCGTAAAGCCTCCACACTCCATGCAACACCAGATAAAAGGCCCAACAGTAACAACCTGCCACAGAAACAGCGCATTCCCACTGACAGTGTGGTCTCCAGACCCCTCCTAACCTGCACTGGCCTCTCTGCTTGTTTGGCCTTGGTCCCCACGCCTGAGAAGGGGAGGGGAGCGGCACATATGATGGGGGTACGGAGGGCAGCTGGGTGGGACACAATGGGATGTGGAGAGGCCCCTGCCCACGGGGCTCCACAATGAGTTTTGGGGAGGCAAGGCCTCTACAGAAATAATGGTGGAGCTTGAATACCAATTCCTCAAGAAAGCATTCCCTGAACCCCTAGGTCAAGTTCCAGCTCCATTTTCACTCTCGTAACTTCCACTTTTTCACAACCTATGTCACAACTGCAATCAATTATTTAACTTGTTTACTGATTGCTTTGTTTCAAGTCTGTCTCTCCGAAGAGACTATAAAGTGCCACAAAGGTAAGAACCATGCCCGTCTTGTTCACCACTATCCCCTAAGCACCAAGCACAGAGACTGGCATGTAGCGCACGCTCATCAGTTAACTGTTGAATGTATGAACGAGAGACTGGGATAATAACAGGACCACCGATGGAACAACAACACATCAGCTGTACAGATCATTTGATGAACATTAAGCACCTACTATGTGTCAGGCATTGCTGACAACAGAACCTGCCCTCAACGAGCTGGCCCTCCCGTGGAGGGATTGGCTCACAGCAAGGCCATGCAGTTGAGGGGCATGTCTCTCCAATGGAGCTCTGTCTGGGAATGACAACAGGGAGAAATGACTTCACAAAGGTTACTGTTGAGTATCTGGGCAAATGGGACCAGGACGGAGATCCCAGGCAGGACTGGCTTGAACAATGACCAGAGGTGCATTCCAGCCTTGTGGGGAGTTCAGGGTGCTGAAGTTGGGGTGTGGGGGATGGACAAGAGCTTGACTGGAGCAAGACCATGGAGGATCTTAGTCAAGACAATATGCACCCGATCAGTGATGCTCTGCTGATTGTGCTGGAGAGAACACTAAGGTCAGGATCCTCTGGGAAGGCAGGAAAGGGAGCTAGACTTGTGAATTCCACAGCTGAGGGCCTCACCATTATCTCTCATTGATTTGCCCTCCACAGAGCCTTCACTATTAATGTCTACAATGTGGCTGCATTTTCTTCTCTGCAACTAGAAAGAAAAGGTAAGTTTCTCTGTGGCCTATTTACACATCTGGCAGTGACTCGGTCAGCCTGGAAAATTACTTGGTGGGTGCCCTAGAAGAGTCTTCTAATCATGTGTTATCCAGATGTCAGTTGAGTTCCCCAACACCTGAGACCTATAGAAGACAGTTTGACCCCTTATCCTACACCCTGTGGGAAACAAAAGCCATTTCCAAGATTTTTGCCAACTCCCAGGGGCCTTTAATTCTCACAGCCACCTTTGGCTCCAGACTCCTGCTTCCTTGCGAGCCATTATGTCCAATGCCACATAGATGGATAGGAAAATCAGCTCTTGGTTTGATTTCCACAAAGAATTCCCATACACACAAAGCCTTCCTAGGTATAGCACACTCTAACCAAGGGGCTCAAGGAAAGAGGGGGAGATTTTCACAAAGAAGGCTTGAGAGTATAGAAATGCTCATACTTTCCTTAGTTCTTAGAGTGGCCTCTGGCCACCACCACTACCACCAAGGATTTCCACTGACCTTTCATAGGCTGTTGTGCCCAACTTCCAACCATCCTGAAACTCCTCATCCTTCTCCTGCCTTCTCTGTCCTCTTTCTTCTCTCTTACCTCCTTCTAGGGAGCCAAAACAAATTCAAGAAACTGAGGTGCAGGAAAGATAGGTAACTTGCCAGAAGCCACATAGAAAGTAAATGGAGAAATTGGCTCATGGTCCACATATTATGCTTTTTTCCACTTTTCTTAGACTTACATCAAAACTATACAGTCTTTTATTCTTAATGAAGTTTTTAAATACAAAGTTCAACCAAGAATAAGAAACATTAGTCCTTCTCAGTGTCCAGATAACAGGTCTTCCTTGGGAGCCCTCCAACACTGAAATACATGCAGTATGCTGTCCATCTTCCTGCTGGCCATACATTGCAAATGTGGGCACATGGGTATCTATTTTCAACAACAAATTTTAAAGTGATTCTGCCTGAGGAAACTATTACATAAATGCCTTCATGGCTTCCTTGGTGGTTTCCCTCTGTGAAAAGACTTGGGTGTTATTTTTCCTCCTGAAGGGCATTATCAAGATGAACACTCATGTAAATGCTAAGAAAGAAAGAAAAAATGTTTGTTTCTAATCAGGATTCTTTAGCTCCACACTAATAAAATCCAGCTGGAAGGAAGGAAGGAAGGAAGGAAGGAAGGAAGGAAGGAAGGAAGGAAGGAAGGAAGGAAGGAAGGAAAGGAGAGAGAGAAAAGAAAAGAAAAAAGAAAAAAAGGTTGTATTCAAACCTGTGGCTCAGTGGGATACTAGAGAAACATCTGCCCTGGGGAAACACTAAATGAGATAAAACAGTGCCTCGTAACTGGAAGGCACCCTCCCACCAGTGGAGAGTGCCTGAGCCTGAGCAAATCACAAGACTTCTCCCTTCTTCTTCCATATAGTCCTCTTTGATCCACAGACCCTTGGAGGCATCATTACAAGGCTCTAGTTTTTCCAGAATCAAACTACTCACAGGGCCTGGTTCTCACTGCTTCTCTGCAAGGCAACCTCAGAGAACCAAAGGGTGGTCAGATCCCTGCACAGGAGAACGAGCAGTGCCTCTGAAACCACAGAAAGAGATATGAGGGTTTGAACAGGGCCTCTGTGCCCTTGCTTTAGAGCAGGGGTAGCCGTCCTCAGGTCTGGAATGATACTAGTGGTTTTTTTTTTTAAGATTTTATTTATTCATTTGACAAAGAGAAAGAGCACAAGCAGGGGGAATGGCAGGCAGAGGGAGAGGGAGAAGCAGGCTCCCCACTGAGCAGGGAGCCCAACACAGGGTTTGATCCCAGGACCCTGGGACCATGACCTGAGTCAAAGGCAGATGCTTAACTAACTAAGCCACCCAGTGCCCCTGATATCTAGTTCTTATAAGCTTTACATGCAACCTTTGAAATTAGCAAGAAAAAAATATAACTGTGCCATTCTGGATTATATTTGCACTGACTGATCTAATATAACATTAAGGACATGAAGACATTTGAGGACAGAGTACCACCCAACAACAAATTCAGTAGTTGTATAAACTCCTTCCCCCATAGGATTGTATAGACCTTAAGGGTAGAGAATATTTCTTACTTATTTTTTCTTCCTTGACATTCTGTATTCCCTAGTTTTCCTCCTCCTCTACATATACGCTTGGCCGCTGAGAATTGTTGACTGAAGTTTGCTCATGAACTCTGGCTCTAGTGTTCCATCAGATTGGCCTCCTTTCTCCAGTGCCCCCCCTAAAACAGGTTCTGATGCCATTGTTTTTTGTTTTTTCCAGACACAACCACTTCCCAGAGCTCTACAACCAGGACAAACCCACACCCACACCCAACCTCAACAAAAGGACACATCTCCACAATAAGAACAACTCCACACCCAACTGCAACAAGAGAACACATCTCCACAACCACAACAACCCTACACCCAACCCCAATAACAGAACACATCTCCACAACTACAACAACCCCACATCCAACCCCAATGACAAGACACTTCTCCACAGCCAGGACAACCCCACACCCGATCCCAAGGACAACCAGCTTGGCCAACAGAACCTTCCTCTGCCCCATCACAAGTACCATTCAGATCCTGCTAGTCTTTCTCACCAGCAAACTCCTCTGCTAGAAGGAAGCTAAGAAAACAATTGTTCCTGCTTCCACTGCATCCTCCTACGTTCCGTTCAAAGCCAGTGCTCTGACAGGCATATGAATGAAGACTTTACATTCTCAAATGTGCAACTCTACTACCACTGCTTTGGACCAAAACAGAGACCTGGGGGTCACTTGGTGGAGGGTAGCTAGTCCACTCACTGGTGGACTTGGGGCACACAGATGTTCAACTGGATCTCTCAGGACACAAATTAGGCTTTTTGTTAGCTGCTTAGACCTAGTCTGGGTGTAACCCGGAATTCTGGCTCTGGGTTTCACATGCTGACAGCCAATTCCACAGCCAATGTAAACTTTGTTCACTGCCAAATGATTCCTCCACACCTGAGTCTCTGTGGGAAAAACCTTTCTTCACTTTCAAGATGACCTCAGATTTCTGACCAAACTCATTCAGGTTACACAGAGCTTCTGTGTCTCATGTCACCCAACAAGGAAAAGAAAAAGGAATAGCCCTGATGTTATTGCCCACACCAGTAGTATATGAAGGGCTAGAAAACAGGAACGTACCATGTCTGAGCAAACAACCATAGGGAAATATTATGGTATAAAGACATTATTTCCTATGTCGTACCAAAGAAGCTACACTTCAAACAAGAATAATGAATGTGTTAAATTCAAATATAAGTCTTTAATGAGTGATTACTCTAACTTAAAGTATAACATGCTAATTTTATTTGTGTATATGAACATTAAAAAAATTAATAGAATGGTGGGATTCTACTTCTCAAGTACAAACTGGTCATTTTTCCCCTAATGGTAATTTCCACTAGAATTGGGCAAAATATTTATAGTATTCATAATACAATGTAAAACCAACAGAAAGCATGGGATTTCCTGTAATACCCTGGTAATAAACAACAAAGTTTTCTTTTAATAATTATGATAAATTCCAGGATGCCAATATCCAGTAACCAGCCTTCCTCTGGGACGGTTTCTGTCAATTTCTTCTTCTTCCCTATGAATAGACCACACTTTCCTTACTTACTTGTAGGTCTTTAATTTTTGTTGAACCCTGGACATGTTGAAGGTTATAACGTGGCGGCTCTGGAAATCCAGGGCAGCCTGCTGCTTGTTGAGGGCCGCTGTCCATTTGTTTAGGGACTTTTCCCAACTGTTCTGTGCAGACTGCATTCCTTGTTGAGTGTGGGTCACTGACAGCCCTTTCCTGTTATCTCAGCAGTCAGTCAGCGACCTGATAGATTTTCTTAAATGTCAAAATTTAGAGGCCTCTTTCCTCCTCTTTCCCCCACCTTTGCCACCCTTCAAGCTTCTAAGTAAAATGTCTTCCTCATTAAGCATTCCTCTAATAGCTGGAAGTTTTTTATTAGATCCTAGAGTGCTGAGAAAGTTCACTCTGACAGTCTGTGCCAGCTTAACGGTTGCTGTGATGGAGGGACCGATTCCTGGAGCTCCTCATCCTGCCATTTTCTGTGACATGGCTCGGTAGCCACTATTAGTACCTGCCAGGTGCTTTAAGTGCATCATCCCATTTAATCGTCACAACAACCCTGGGAGATAGAGTTGTTCTACAGACGCGGACACTCATGCAGAGAGAGAGAAATCATTTGCCCACAGTCACTCAGTGAATAAGTTGTGGGGCTGGGTTTCGACCACTTCAGAGCCTGCACCATTAACCAGGACACCCTAAGGCCCCCTGCGTGGCTCCCGCATCCCCCGGCATCCCCCAGGACAAGTGGCTCCCCAGGGCCCTATGACAAGGAGAGGGTATGGGGGTCTCTCACGGGCACAAGCAGGCTGCGTGCTCCAGCAGCGCTCCTCCACACACCACCCTGCTGCCACCTCGGAGATAAACTGCAGTGAGCCCTGACCCAAAAGCTAGGAACAAGCTTCGTATTATCTGTCACGGCCCGGCCTGGAGGCATCTCAGGTTCAGTGTGGAAGGTGGGACAACTATTGGAGCCTCAGCAGAAACACTCTCTCAAGCTGGAAAACTTTTAGACTCAGAGAAATCTGGGGAGCTGAATTCAGACATGCAACACAGAGGCAGCTAGACAAGGGCGCTGAATTCGGAGGCAGGGAGCCTGTTAAATTCCATTTCTGCTACGAAGGAAGAAAGTGATCTTCTGCCTCGGTTTCTCATCTCTTCCATACAGGGTTGGTCCAAGTAGCATCTGAGCACTCTTGTGGGTGGGTCTCCATTTTGATTTCTCTGTCACATCCACACCTAGTTCTCAGGGTCTAGTCAGATGGTAAGTCGGCGTTGCTCTATGCCCTGTGTGATTGGCAGAGGCCACCCGAAGCACTGCGGAGGATTCGGAAGCGAAACCCAGGCTCAGACACAGAGTGTTGTATTCAACAAAGGGTTAGCTTCCTTGGACTCAGGAGGCCGCACTTCCTCCAGAGGCTTCAGGTTAGCCGCCGTCTGTGGTCTCTCGAGCGAGTCCAGTGAGCGGCCAGCAGAGCAAGAGTAAAGGGATAAACAAGTACGCACGTTCACAGTCTAGGAATAAGCTAATCCTGATCCTCACTGATGAGGTGACTCACCACAAGGAAAACAAAGGCATTCGGGAAATTCGAGGAAACCCCCGGGCTGCACCTCATGCACAGAAAAGAGGTGAACAAAGGATGGACTGTTTCCACTCCCACGTTCACTTGCCCAACCTCGTTCTTCCACTTCTGTTTTCTTGTTTGCAGCTTCGTGTTTTGTGAATTCGATGCATGCTTATCCTGTGTTAGAAACAGCAACTACCCACCCGTTTATAGGAAGGGAGTGCTGAGGGAGTAGGAAAGAAAACTGCTGTCTTCCTAATCCCATTACCTCAAAGATCTTCAAATACCAGAAAGAGTGCCAAGCCTGGTCAGTGGTCCAGCTATCCCACTGACTGTTCAGAGCAGGGAAAACATTCAGAACAGGCAGAACATGCATACATTATCTTATTATCTATCAACCTCCACATTACTTTTGAAAATAAACGTTGAAAAATATTAATAATTAAGTAAAAAACTTAATATTATTTCACACAAGAGGTAGTTCGGCAATTGTCTTAAAGCATAAACTCTGAGGCCAAACTGCCTGAGTTCAATCACATTTGATTTTACCCCTTATTATTTGTGGGACTTTGTGAAGTTACTTACCTTCTATGTAACTTGGGTTTCTTCATCTGTAAAATAGGGAGAAATATAGTAGCTACTCATAGGCCGTTGTGGAGATTAAATCAGTTAATATATATAAAGCATTTGGAACAGTACCTGGCACAAAGTAAGTGCTACTTAATTATTTAATGCCTAAAAAAGGCATCACAAATGATATATTGATGTACAAGAAAGGCCAAGTATTGTAGCCATATAAATATTTGCAGATAAAATGGTACCTATAACAAGGACTAAAAGTACTAACTTGTAACTCTCCTAAGAAATGGCTGACTGACTTTCCACAGCCTCCCCACCCCCACCCCCCGCCCGCCCGCCCCCAGCCCAACCTTTGCCACCCTTCAAGCTTCTAAGTAAAATGTCTTCTTGCGTGCTGGGTCAGTTCCTTTCTTACAGAAAAAATAAACCGTGGGTGAGGGGTTGAATTATTTCACATAATAAAGAGTTACGAGAGAGGATGGAGAAGAAAGAGCAAAGCAAAGTTTGGGATGAGTATTGTGGGGGCTGAGACGGAAAGGAGCCTCTGTGGAAAGGAGGCTCAGGGATTTCCCAAGAGCTGTTCTTGGTTATAAACCGGTTGTCTCTTAAGGTCCTTCAAGACATACTAGTGAAAATAAGAATAATTTTACCTCTGATCAATGGACTGTATTTCTTTGACTATGGTTCAGCAGTGAAACTGGGACATATGGACCACCCCCACCCTGCTTTTATATAAGTTATGTCCATGTATATAGACAGAATGAAGTTAAATATATATACCTGATAGAAGTGGGAAGTAATTTAACATATACAAAAACCTACATATTTATCTATGCATATGCATATAACCTATATGTAAAAATAAATTTAGACTCAGATGTTTGAGTCCAACAATCTCAAAAAGCTTTTGGCTAAATGAACAAAATAAGCAGACAGCACATTTAAAGAGCTTGGGAACATTTTTCTTTTTTTAAAGATTTTATTTATTTATTTGACAGAGAGAGACACATCGAGAGAGGGAACACAAGCAGGGGGAGTGGGAGAGGGAGAAACAGGCTTCCAGTCGAGCAGGGAGCCCAATGCGGGGCTCGATCCCAGGACCCTGGGATCATGACCTGAGCCGAAGGCAGATGCTTAACGACTGAGCCACTCAAGAGCCTGGGAACATTTTCAATAGTCTATTTTTCTTCCTTCCTTCCCTTTCTTTTTCTTTCTTTCTCTCTTTTCCTTCCTCCCTTCTTCCTTTTTCTTCCTTCCTTCCTCCCTTCCTCCCTTTCTTTTAAAGCCAAACAAACTTAGGTTCAAATCCCAGCTCTTCCATTTAATGAATGACTTTGAACAAGACCCCTCATCTCCTTAGACCCCAGATTTCTTACAGTGAACTGGAGCTGACTCCCACCTCAAGGACTACAGTGACAGAGATGCTGGACACACAGTGGTGAGCATAACGTTAATTCACAAGAAGCCAACCAATACCAACAACCTTAAGTCAGTTAACTATGCAATCCTAAATCAGAGTGGAAAACATTATACCCCACAATCTGGTTAGGTTGCTTTTTTTTTTTTTTTTTCTTTTCTAAATACAGTTTTCTCCTTCAAGAATAGAGCTTCAACTTTCCCCCCTAATACTTTGGGAATTACTGAAAGTTATTATGGCAACAAAACTAGGCCCTTGTTTGCTGAAAAGCATGTAATTGCCTGAGTGTTGCCACAGATCTATTTAGTTCATGCTCTACAAAAAACCCTGCTCTTAGGGGCCAAGCAGATGGAATGATAAAAGGCATTCTTTGCAATACCAGCTGAGGCTCTCTCTCTCCCTGGGGCAGACCTCCTCTCCACAAGTTGGGACAGTAACTACCCACCAATCTCGACCGTTCATC